GGGGTCAATGGGTCCCACCACAGGCTGCACTGGAGGAAGGGAAAGTGGCCTTGGGAGGAAGGAAAGGAAGGTGGGATGCAGTCCCGGGAAAGAAAGAAAAGAAACTTTTAATCTGAGGAATGCAAGCTCTTTAAATGACCCCTGCGTCCCATCCTTCAGGAAACCCTGTGGCTTCACTGTCAGAATATTCCCAGAAGCTGGGCCTGCCCAGCCTCTCCCCAGCTAAAAGGCCAGCCGGGCCCTCCCCTCTTCACCCTCACTCAGGGCGAAGACATCCTTACCGAGTGCACGGAGGCAGGTTAACTATGAGGCTGGGAGCAGCGGGAGCTACGGAGTGTTCTGAGGTGAGTGGGAGCTATAGGGCGACCAGGAGGCAGCTCCATGTGAGCTTTCTGCAAATTGCCTAAAGAGATCTCAGAAGAAAGGGACCACACTGGGATTCCTTTTTTCATTTTAAATACTATTCATTTTGTTTCTTTTCTTTTTTTTTTTTTTTTTTGAGACAGAGTCTCATTTTGTTGCCCAGGCTAGAGTGAGTGCCGTGGCGTCAGCCTAGCTCACAGCAACCTCAAACTCCTGGGCTCAAGCCATCCGCCTGCCTCAGCCTCCCAGAGTGCTAGGATTACAGGCATGAGCCATGGCGCCTGGCTTCATTTTGTTTCTTATACTCAATTTAATATCCATAACTTATCGTTCTTTTTACATCTGCCACAAATGTCATCACCTGGCTCATAATATTTTTAGTAGAGATGAGGTCTCCCTATGTTGCCAGGCTGGTCTCAAACTCCTGGCTTCAAGCCTCCATAGTGCTGGGATTACAGGTGAGCCAAGGCCCCAGCTGAGCAACTTTTTTTTTCCCCCTAGGGTCTTGCTCTATCACCCAGGCTGGAGTGCAATGATTGATTATTACAGGTCCCATGCCCCTCAGTGTGGAAGGGCTCCTGCCCACCAAGGCCATATGTGCCCCTACCCCTCCTGCCTCCTTGCGTTTATGCTGCAGGGGCCTGTGGTCTCCTTCAAGCTAGTAAGTCCTCTTCAAATGTCCCTGTCCCCAGGGTATATCCCGGGCACTCCATTGGGAACTACTGTCCCTGCCCCCCCCCCCGCTGCTGCTCAGCACTCGCCACTGCACACACAAACCCTCTGACAATCGGGTCGGTTGCTGCCTGCTCTGCCTTGGTGCACAGACCTGCTGGCAGAGAGGACAGTGGGAGTGCCAGGAATGGCTTTTAGGGGTGGTTGCCCTGGCTCCCCAAGGGGGGGCACATTACCTGCTTGTCCCTTCCCACCACACCCCCCTCTCCCGCAGCAGAAAGAACCAGCCGAGGTCTCCCGCTGTACTAATGTATTCCATCTTTCAAAAAGAAAGACATGATTTTAATATTACTTAACAATATGTTAAAAAAGTAGCCAGGCAGGCCTCCGTGTTAATACAGTCGTACACTCTATAACGGACTTGATGGTGTGAGCACTGGGTGGGTTTCTTGTTTTTTAACTTTCTTGTCTGCAAGGGATCTTACACAAGCTGGCTACAAGTCAGGGGGATCAAACACAGACAGCGCAACGTGTACACTCTGAACAGCAGATTGTGGAGAAGAACGAAGGAAGCCTGCCCCGCCCAGCCCGCCTCGGGTGGACGCAGGGGCACACGAGAGTTGAGTGATGGCCAACATCCGGTGAGGACAGATGACAGGACAGGGCGTGATGCAGAGGCGACGGAGCCACGTGGATGATGCAAACTTGTATCTGGCCACAGCCCAGGCCTCCGAGGCCGCAGTGGTGGGAGGACTTGGTGCGAACTACTGTTCCAATCCGACGGCACAGAGCTACAATCGAAGGGGTCTCACGCACAGACTACACGCACACAAGCTAACAGCGTGGGCTGAGCAGCAAGTTCTTGGTCTGGGGTCTCAGGCAGCAGCGCCCGCCCCAACAACCCTGGGCGAGCTCTGGCTCTGGGGGGCCAGCAATGTGCTTGGCTCTGGGGGTGGCGCAGCCTAGCCCGCCTCGCGCACGTCCCTCTCCAGGCAGGCCTCATTCAGTGGGCAGCAAAGGTGGCTTTTTTCAAGCTAAAATTGGACCAGTTGATGGACAGTCTTTGTCGAGTCTGTCTAGCAGAATCCAAGCAGAACCTGTGAAGACAAAAAGCCAAACAGTCACCAAAAGACAGCCCACACCCTCGCTGGGGCTTGGCAAAGCCTCCCATCCTCCTACTATTGCTAGAAACTCACGGGGGTGGTCAATAAGGGTGACCGGGGTCAATGGGTCCCACCACAGGCTGCACTGGAGGAAGGGAAAGTGGCCTTGGGAGGAAGGAAAGGAAGGTGGGATGCAGTCCCGGGAAAGAAAGAAAAGAAACTTTTAATCTGAGGAATGCAAGCTCTTTAAATGACCTGGCACAGAGAGGTACAGACATGTTGACAGCCCCACGTCCTCCTCCCACTTTGAGATAAGGCATCATTTCGAAGCTGCCTGCTCTGTGGACTCTAGACAACACAGTGAACTAAGGCTGCCACACGCCGGACACTAACCCACACTCTACAGCTCAACATAGGGCCATCACCAATCAATGTGACTTACGTAAACTAATGGGAATCCCTGACAAACAACCATTGTAGTCACCCCTCTTCTGATTTTTTTTCTTTGGAAACCTGAACCTCTCCATTGTTCTCCAAGGCACTGTTCTCCAGTATGTCCTGGGCTCCAGTCCTATTGTGCCTCAGTTTCTTTTTTTAGGCCAACAGTCTCATGCTTCTCAGGTGCTTTGTGTCATCGTTTCCTACCCTGTGCTTCAGGGAATGAGCTTGGCTGAAGTTCCAAGAAGAAAATGCAATAGGTGTGTTGCGGGGTGGCACCGGACCAGGAATACAGGCCTCCACCCTCCCCAAGGGAAGTTTCTGATAGAGAGAATCAGAAGTGCACCCTACCTGGCTGGGCTCTGCCAACGGCCACCATCCTGAACATCTTAATGTGGCCACGAAAGGACAAGGAGGAAGGTCTAGGGGTTCATTGCTTTGTTGGGTGCCTTGTCCAGGCAGTAAATGATTGCAGCCTACTGCAAATCAGGTGAGAGCTAGGTGGCTTTGCAGGTAAGCTCTACAGACACACAGACAGGGTCTATAGCTGGGGGAGGCTGGGACTGGCATGTGGCCTAAGGCCAGGGGCCACCACACAAGGGTCACATGGAGTTCCAGGGCAATCCCTGCAACAGATCATCTTGGGGAAGCAATTCTGCCACTAAGCTGGGCTGCTGCACCTGGGTGAGGCATGCAGCAAGGACTTGCACACGTGCCCTGTGGAGCAGAGGGAGGACAGGGAAGCCTAGACTGGGCCAGTGGCTTGAGCTGACCATGAAAACAGGAGATGTGCTCAAGCCTGGGTAAAATGCAGCCCACTGTCTTAGGAAGGAGGGCTGGCTGCAGCCCTTACAGCCAAGCGGGGCCCTGGGAAGAGTCCTAGCAAGCCATGTATGCCCTGGCAGCTCCCTCTCTGAGCCTGGGACTGTAGAAGCCACAACTGGGAAGACAGAATCACAAGGGGGAAGCAAATTAGATCTGAGCCTGGCATGCCCCGGGAGCTGGTGGAAGGCCTGCCACCAAGCACGAGGCTGTATGGGCTGGAGGCATGCGTTAGGTCCGGGGTCAGCAAACGTTTGCTGTGATGGGACCGACAGTAACTACTGAGGCTTTGCAGGCCCTGCGGTGGCTCTTGCACCTGTTCGACTCACAAGCACAGCCCCAGAAGACATGTCAGCACAGCTGTGGTTCAATAAAACTTCATCACAGTGATTATATCATTTTCATGTGTCACAAAATATTCTTTTGCCCCTAACTTCTTAAATGTAAAAATTCTTTTAGGTCATCAATTATACACAAGCAGGTGGAAGACTGGGTCTAAGATGCAGCTTATAGCATATGGTCTGTGTTAAAGATAAGCTCTCAGTCCACGTGTAATCACTGAGATTTCAGCCAACTTATTCCTGAATTTGTAAGCAAGTGTCACTGAAAATAAGAATTGATTATGTCAAAATGGTGATAGTTCCCCACCTCAGGGGCACATCTCCCGAACATGAAGGCCCACAGGCCTCTCAGGTCAGCTGTCAGCCTCTCTAGGCCGCCTGGGCTCTAGATCATGAACTCACTGCACACTGAAGAGTTTTTTTTTTTTTTTTTTTTTTTTTGAGACAGAGTCTCACTTTGTTGTCCAGGCTAGAGTGAGTGCCGTGGCGTCAGCCTAGCTCACAGCAACCTCAAACTCCTGGGCTCGAGTGATCCTTCTGCCTCAGCCTCCCAAGTAGCTGGGACTACAGGCATGTGCCACTATGCCCGGCTAATTTTTATATATATATATATCAGTTGGCCAATTAATTTCTTTCTGTTTATAGTAGAGACAGGGTCTCGCTCTTGCTCAGGCTGGTTTTGAACTCATGACCTTGAGCAATCCGCCCGCCTCGGCCTCCCAAGAGCTAGGATTACAGGCGTGAGCCATAGCGCCCGGCCCTGAAGAGCTTTTGAAAAAGACCACATTTTTGCCCCCTGCTACCCAGGCAACAATGCCTGATTTTTGCATTAAATGAAAGAAACATTTTCTTTCAAAAACCTTTTCTTTGGCCAGGCATGATGGCTCCTACCTGTAATCCCAACACTTTGGGAGGCCGAGGCAGGAGGATCACTTGAGGCCAGGAGTTTGAGACCATTCTGGGAAATACAGCAAAACCCTGTCTCTATAGGAAAAAAAAAAGCCAGGCGTGCTGGCATGCACCAGTAGTCCCAGCTACTTGGGAGGCTGAGGTAGGAGGGTCGTCTGAGCCCAGGAGTTCAAGGTTGCGGTGGGCTATGACTGTGCCACTGCCCTCTAGACTAGGCTAAAGAAGGAGACCTGGTCTCTAAAAAGCAACCCCGCCAAAAAAAAACCTCTTTACTTTGCGTAATTTCTGAAACTTTCATCATTTCAGCTCTAATTTGGGTAGCAGAAATTTGAATGAAACCTGAAAATGGTTATTGTCACCCATCCATCAGATAAAACTGTGTTTGCCTAAGTTGTGGTTCAGTCACTCAACCACAAACATCTGTGAACACCCAACTGTGCTGACTGCCCTGCCTCCGTGAGGTGGAGGGAGCCAGTGTTAAGACTGAGCCCCCCCTCACCCCCCCTCCCAGAAAAGGCTGCACCATTTCCCAGGATCCACATTCTCTTTACTGGCCACAGGTGCTCAAACCCTGGATCTGTGATGTTACCTTCCACACTTTCTGGAAACTTCTACCTCTGCCTCTAACATGTGTTCCTCATTCTCACAATCATATCCTGGCTGTCCTCACTGCTTTCTCTACACAGCAGTTAGCATGCTCAAAAACATCAACCACATCCCTGCTCAATGCTACTCAATGAAAAATCTAACCCAAGCCACAGCCAGGCTTCCAACAGGTTCTTGTGGCACAGGCATAAAACCTTACTGCTCCCCAAGACCCCAGGCCCAGTGTGACCTGGCCCTGCCCCCTGCCCATACCCTGTCATCTCCATCTGTGCTCCAGACACACCAGGCTCCCCATCAGGCCTGTGTTGTCAACTGTGGACTATGTCATACACACACAAGGTATGCAGAGCACATAACATATGGGTACCTAGAATGCCAAAGCCTGAGTAGGCACCCTCCAGGTCAAGAAATCCAACACTGTCAACTGCAGGCAACTTGTCTTCTCCCAGGAGCCAGCCACTGTCCTAGTGTTCGTAATGTTAGTCTTCTATAGTTCTTTATAATTCCATGACTTCACATGAATCCTAAATGGCAGTTTGGTTGTGCTGATATTTGAACTTGTATAAATGGAGTCATACTGTATGCATTTTCTCTTACTGCTTCTTTCACTCAACATTACGTCTGTGATTCTTCCATGAGGCAACAGTGTGTTCATTTTTGTTGTTGTATGAATACGGTGCAGTGGACAGACAGATGTTGCTGCCGCTCATGGTCCTTGTCCTGCCTCCTGGGGTGAGTGTGCAGGAGTCCCTCTAGGTCTGTACATAGGCGTGCAGCTGTTGGGTCACACGGGATGTAGAACTTCAATTTTACTAAATTGTATCAAACTTTTTCCTACGGTGTTTTTTTGAGACAGAGTCTGACTCTACTGCCTGGGCTAGAGAGTGCCATGACATCAGTCTAGCTCACAGCAACCTCAAACTCCTGGGCTCAAACCATCCTTCTGCCTCAGCCTCCTGAGTAGCTGGGACAACAGACATGCGCTACCATGCCTGGTTAATTTTTTCTATATGTTTTTAGTAGAGATGGGGTCTTGCTCAGGCTGGTCTTGAACCCCTGAGATCAAATGATCCGCCCACCTCGGCCTCCCAGAGTGCTAGGATTACAGGTGTGAGCCACCGCGCCTGGCCTCTACAGTGGTTTTGACCAATTTATACTCCCAGGAGCAGTGGGTAAGACTCTCGTCACCCTATGCTTTCCCCTAGCAGGTGAGAGAGGCAGCTCATTGGCTTGTTGCAAACTGAAGAAACAAAACCGCCCCTAGTCTTGCTGTGTGTCTCCCTGGTCAGGATGAACATCTCTTTGTCATTTACTGGTCAAATGTGGGACCCTGTTGGTTTGGCCATTTTTCAACTGGCTTGTCTCTTTCTCATTGTTCTACAGAGCTCTTCATACTTAATCTAATCCTTTGTGATGTGCAGCAAATACTTTCTTCCATTTTCTATAAAGCAAATTATTTTAGAAGAATTATTTATTTTTAACTTAAATAGACTAAGGGGATACAAGTGGTTTCTTACTACATGGATGAATTTTATAGTGAAGAAGTCTATACCTGTCACCAAAAGTGTACACTGTACCTAACAGGTAATTTCTCAGCCGGCACCCCCAATCTCTCCTATGTCCATTAAGTCACCCTGTATGATCATGCCTACCCACTGCTTAGCTCCCACATAAAAGTGAGAACATGTGGTATTTGGTTTTTTGTTCCTGGGTATTTCATTTAGAATAATGGCCTCCAGTTCCATCCAAGTTGCTGCAAAAGACATTATTTCATTATTTTTGATGACTGAGTAGTAATCCATGGTGTGTGTGTGTGTGTGTGTGCATACACACACATACATACACCACATTTTCTTCTGAGACAGTCTCGCTTTTTTG